CTGTCATTTAAAAGTTTATAATAATGCTACATGTAGAACAAAAATTATATAATAACTTATATAATATTATTTTTGTGTTTATCTTTCTCTATCATTTTATTTTTGATCGAAAGAAATATATTTATTAATAGAAAGAGATAAATACAAGAGTGATTTTACACAAATTATTATACAGTTTTTGTTGTATATGTAGTATTAATCAAAGCATTATTGTGTCCCAAAAGTAATTATAAAAGTAATTATGTTTTGCTTCTATTATGATGCAGAATGCCTTTCAATTAGCACATTTTGCATGGAGTACAGTAAGTTTATCCATCTTGATCACTTTTTCCTAAACTTGTGCTCTATTACTTCATATTGTTAATTAGCACAACAATGAAGAATAAGTTTAACAATGTCTAAAATTAAGGTAAAATACCTGATGCCATAACTGAACCAGCTTCAGAAAAGCTATAGCACATTATTAGCAAAAGGAGAAGTATAGAAATAAATTTGTATAAATAATAATGAATGAAACATTCATGAGACAACAGGATTACAATTACTTTGTAGACTCCGGCTAGAAGAAGAAAGTGAGCTAGTTTTCTGATTACTTTTCTTTCACAAATTTTCTGTTTCAGTATGAATTCTCCATAAACTCTTGCTTCCACAGATCAACAGCAGATATTGTGATCAGACTTACAATGGGGTAAATTAATTTCTGTTGCCCAAAAAAAAAAATACACAAGCCATTTTGAAGATTATAATACTGTAGGTAATTAAGAGTTATTTGTGGCACTGAGGATGAATTTGCAATTTTAATTTCCAGGGTTGTCATACAAGTTCTATGCAGCTATGTGACCTTGCCTCTTTATGCTCTAGTCACACAGGTAACTTGGTGGAAAAATCCTCTTATTAGTATTTTTCTATTACTATAACATGGAATACTAACAACAATCTCTAACACTTTTTTTTTTATTATTTTTTTTTTATTGTTGGCTGAAATTTATTAAAAATTAAATTACAAATTCTGTGACTTGCATTCCATCTAACAAGTTTCTCTCTTCATTTAGTGATAGAATCTAATAAAATTTGTGATTATCGATCAATTTCAATCAATAATAGAAAGCATTAAAAAAATGTAACAGAGAGAGTGTTGCTAACATATCTCTTACCATAACATATAATTAGGCTCTGATTTCATTATCTTGTGGTTGACATTTCAGATGGGTTCAACCTTGAAACCCACCATTTTCAATGAAAGAGTAGCAGCAGCATTGAAGAAGTGGCACCATGCTGCCAAAAACCATGTGAAAGACAGCAAGCACTGCGAGGCTAATAGTACCACAGCATTCTGCAGCAGGTCATCAACCCCAACATTTGGCATGTCCCCTGTTCACCTGCTAAACAGACACCTTGCTGGCAAAAGTGATAGTCCACAAACTTCTCCAAGAACATCCAACTACGAAAATGAACAATTTGATTTTGAAAATGAACCTTCCACAAGCACCCATTCAGGAACAGAGGAGACCCCAATGCAAGTTTTTGGGCCACCTTCGACAACAGAATTGCCTATTAGCACTAAGCTTGAAGTCCACGTTAGTTCATCAGATTTTTCTTTTGAGAAGTAAAACATCTCTTAAAATGTAGATTTGGACTTAATTTAACCATGCAAAACTAATTTAGCAGGTGAGGATTGGTCTCAGTATTTTTTTAAGTGAAATTTGTTTAGTGGATTCTTTTTATTTGAACTTGGAACCAAGTGTGTTTTCAACTTAAATATATTTTTAAGAAAACTTGTTTTATTAAGGATTTGTGTTCTCTATAAATAATTTAATCACTATTGTACAAATGTATTCAGTTACACTAAATTCAATTGTGATAAAATGATCAATGCATATTTCAATGGAAGGATAGCAAGTTGGGCATCCTTTTCAATTTTATCCTTTTCTTTTTGGATGGCCTCTTGCTTCCTCCATAGTTTAAGTGACTTTAGCTCTTTTGCTAGATAAGAAATGCTTTTAGGAGAGCTATCACATTCACTATAATCAGATTGATGAGACATTTTAAACAAAAAGTCTTTTTCACACAAAAATAGTTTTTAAGCAAGTAAGATTTTTAAGTGCTTAGATTTGACACTTAGAGGTCTAAGAATACAAATTGAACTTTGGAGGGAGGTGAGCTACAAGGAACCACTTAATAACCAAGTCTCTTCAAGTAAAAATTTCTAAACCCTCTTATACCTTGTCTTGCACAAAACGTTTTCACAAAGTTCTTTTCAAAAAGAAAATAACAAACAAGTGTCTAACTGTACAATTATTCAAGGCAACTCAAAACATAAATTCTTGAAAACATAGATTGCTTAAAAACATAAATGACTTAGAAAACATATATTGTTGAAAACATAAAGTTCTCAAAACATAAACTAGACGTGTAAAGCTTTAAACCTATGTGGGAGCTTGAAGAGCAGCAAAGGCTTTTAAGGACCAATCCCATCAAGGAAACTAAACGAATTTACCCTATAGAAAACACTAAGGAGAGATGGAAATGCACCAAGACACTTCTAAAGGCCTTGAACAAAGTGAAATGTAAATTCACAACAAATGAAATGAAGTGGTTGCACCAAACTTTGAAAACAAAATCAGCCACAAATTAGTGACAGAATTTAGAGACATATTTTGTGAGTAAATTTTGTGACAACAAAATTTTCGTCTCTAAATTTGGTGACTAATTCCTTTTACAAATTTTTCTCTTCCAAAATCTTTTGTCCCTTCAATTCTTGTCTAGCCACCAAGTCCTTGTAGCAACCTCACACGTGTTTCTCTCTTCTTTTAGAAGCAATCTAGATGGTGATTGCTTCTAGGTGTTTGATCTCCAACAAGAGCTTTCCACCAAGGAGAAGAACAATCTCATAGGCCTACATGTTATCTCCCTTGGCAAGTGTACCAAATCGTAAGTAGTTCAATGAAAGTATGAGTATCGTCTCCCAAGGGACTTGCGCAACACTTTGCAATTTCACTTGTTATACTAACTAAGCTACCGAAAAGCAATAAGAGTTTGATTTGTTGCAGTAAATAATGTAAACAAGCAATAACAATTCTTTTTGGTATTTTGGTAAACACTTAGAGTGCAAAACTTGATTCTAATGCAATATTAATAAATTGTTGGGGTTTGACTTCACTAAACCTTCCTCTCATGCTTATCACTAAGTTCACAATAGTTATTATTCAGAATTTATCAATCACTCTCAAAAGTAACCAACCCTAATCTCTTACAAGTTGGCATCTAAGTTACTAGCTTAAACTATCAATCTCTTGCATAGTTTAACCTAGAAACCAGCTTTAAAAACAAGAGCTTAAGAAAGACCAATGGCATTTACTCTATCTCTAGCAATAAGCACCATTAGCTGCTCTATTTCAAGTCAAAGGTTTAAAATCATTTCTCAATCTCTTAAAAACCTTAAGTTCAAGTTAAGGGTGATCAAGCCATAACAAGCATTATGCACAGAAAAAGAGCAATAAAACTGAATAACAACTTAGATTGATAGCTTAGAGTTTACACATGAGAATGAGTTTAGTTACATCAAACCCCAACAAGGGTGAGTTTAGCTACACATAGACATGTAGAACTCTACAAATGATGAAGAAAGGAAGAAGCTTGATCTTGAAGGTTCCAGAGCTCTCCAGCCGCCACACAAAGTCCAAGAATGATCCTCCTTGCTTCTCTCCTCGAAAATCCCACTTTTAGGTCATAAAAGCTTTTGTCTTATGTGAATAATGACATGTCAGCACAATCCACGCTAAGCCTCAGTTCCACGCTCAGCGTGGGGATCAAAATTCTGTTCCAGGGATTCTCTGCCATGCTGAGGCTAAGCGTGGATCTGGGGCTTAGCCTGGGAACTTAACCAAAAATTCCTTCAACTTCAAATTCACCACTTTGTGCTTGACTTCCTTCCTTCTTTCCTAGCTTTCTCCTAAACTACAAAACAATAACCAAATACTTGTAAGTTACCTAAAAACATGATTCAAAAACAAAATGTGATCACCTAACAATTTAGATATGTTTTGAGTTAAAAACAAAGTCTAAAGCAAGGAAAATTGATATAAGTGCTTCAAACTAGGCCATAAACTTAATGAAATCATAACACTTATCACTCCACAAACATTCCAAGATGCTTGCCTTGTAACTTGGCCTTCCACACCTTTAAAGAAGCACTCAACACACCTGATAGTTGTTGGAATAATTTGGTAAAAAATGAAAAAGAACAATTTAAGGAAGCTACACCAAATGGTGGATTAAATGAGACAAGACAAGAAAGATGGAGTTTAAATTAAGTCATTAGCTTTTTATGACTATGCATGAGTGAGTATGTGTTGGAGTTTAAATATGGATGAAAATCTCATATCAGATTCAATTATATAGAAGTGAAAAAGATTCACCAATCTATAATATTTGAATGTTTTAATTTAAGATGTGGTATCAAACTCAGTTATGTACTATTTTTTTTTTATAAAAAAGATAGATATGCTAAGGCACCACTATGTGGAAGAGAGATCCTAACTAGATTAGCACCTCAGTCCATACCAATCATCTGCAGCATATCAGAAATACACTAAATGATAAAGAAATGAAAGAAATACAAGTACAAATGTTTGTCACATCCCATCCTAAGATACTCTAAAGTGGGGAAGACCACCATGATCCCTAGAATAAGCAGTCATGATACAAGATGGAACGGAAAACCACCAATAATAGCCAATGTGTCTAAGGCCAAAACTAGCTAGACTATCGGCGACTACTACAAAGCTACTGTTCAACATCATCAATTCTGCATCGGTTCAGGTAGAAACGATGTAAAAAATGAAGGCGGTGGCATAATTGTAAATAAGAATACAATGTAAAGCATATCTACATCGATTATGGAGGAGACTGATGTAAATGATGAACGTTTTACATCGTTTAGGGTGGGACCGATGTCGTTTTGAATGCGCGGTATTTTTGTGATTAATTACAAATATATCTACATAGGTTCACTCAGGAATCGATGTAGTATTGAGGCCCATATTCACCCTCGCGTTCGCGCCCCTTCTCCATGAGAAGAACATTAAGCATCTTCTTGAACACCAAAACTACGCACGCCCCAGAATCTCCATTGTCATATAAGCTTAAGCACCATCAAGTTTCGTTTTTTGGTGACCAACGCGAGCCATTTCCCCCCGAAGAAGTGTCTCTGGAAGCATCATCTTCTTCTGCAAAAGCTTCAGCACCATTGTTGAAATCGTGCGCGCAAGGAACCCTAAATCGTTTAAGGTTTGGGTGAGTCTCATCTGCTTTGTCCCCCTATTTTCAATTAGTTTAGGGTTTAACGATGTAAACCCTAAAAGGATTCTTCTTCCTTTTAGACTGAATCGTAGTGATACATCTTCCTCGCTACAAAATGCGGTTACTGTGCAGAACAACACAAACAAGCTGAAGAAGTCACACAAGTAAAGGTTTGGCTATTTGTCGCTATATCAACATTGTACAAGACTTCTAAGGTTTTGTTCATATAAATGTTTTTATCCGAATTTCTGTCATTTCTTATGTATATATTATATTTTTTATATATATTATATTTCTGTTGTTATAGGGATTTTCTTGAAAGTTGTTAAGAGCTGTGCATACATCACTAGAAAATCTACAATAAAAAGGAACTCTTCACAATTAAACTCAAACTTCTACCTAACATATTTATCGTAGGAGAAAAATGTAAACTAATCAAACTATTTAGTTCAAATTTCAGAAAGGGCTTGGATTTACTTTTCTAAGAAGAAATAGACTCCAAAGAATATCCAGCATATCATTGTCATCAACTAGCATAATACAAGAAGCCTGTGGAAAAAGAAAAGTAAGACAATAAAACCATGTTAGAGTTGCCATATATCATATACATAGACAAAAAAATACTGCTGGTTGCTTCTATAGCTTCAAGCTAATCAATTTAGTTTGTTTACATGTATAGTGCCCGCGGTAACCTTAGTACTCCAGAAACTGTTCTAAGAAGATTTCAACATTCTATGAGAATCATGCATCATGTGTAGAAAATCAAAAACAGGATGTACAGATTTGAAATTCTCATGAATCTAAAGATAGAAGTCATTGATGTTAAGCATATAGAACACCAAAAAAATTCCTATGAAAGCTATTACAGCAACCAAGTTCAAGCTTATAATCACGGTGGTAATTACAAACCTGCAATTAAAAAGAATTCCTTATTTCCACAAATGTGTTATTCATTTCGCATTGCATCAGGAATAGGAGAGATGGGGGGAGTCTTACACTAGTTTCAAGCCCTTGTCAATTAGCCGCCTATTTTTCCTAGCTTGCTTTTCGATGTTTGCAGATGCATCATCAAGTCTGTCAGTTGTTGAGTCAAGAATTACAGAATCCTCAGAACTGACATTGGCTTCCATAAAGTTACTTTCCATGCCCTTTAATGGTCCTGTTGTGTTGTGTATCGTTTCTGATGCCTCATTCGCTGTCTAGATTATGATATTAACTAAAGTTTTCGCTTCAGAGTGGAACCTTGCACTCCCAGCAAAAACTAGTCCACTTGTAGCTCTACAAAATCAAGAGCCATGCATACATGCATACATCACTTGAGGAAAAGCCAAGATTTTATGGTACTAATATTGCACAGCTCATGCCATTCTTTGTATTTATATCCACAGTTCAAGTTGTGGTTTTAGATAGCCACTACCTAGTCTATAATAAATTTAAGCAAAAGACAATTTCATTTCAATTTGGAAGACTATTTTAATTATTGCCTAAAGTTTCAAAAATTGGTCAATGTCAAGGTTTTTTGAGTCTTAATTACAATTGCAGCAGTTGCATTTGTCCACAATTTTCTACATCATTAACAATCGCACTATGGTAACCACAATCTAAAACCTTAAAAATAAGTCTTTCAACAACTGTTATAGACTGGTTTATATTCGAAACAAGGTTTGGAAGGAAAAGAAGTAAAAAATGCTCCTATTCAGAAATATCATTTTTATATAGCCTAGAGATAAGGATGACTACTTACATAGCAAAAGAGGTGAGCAATATAGCCAAAGGAATCAGTGTAAGATCACAACTCTTGTAATTACAAGGAAAGACCTTCTTCATCCTTCTTCCTGTGTCATTTTTGCCATAAACGATGGTTATTATCAAAAGACTTCCGTATACAATTCCACAAAAAAGGCAGAAAATCACAATTTTATATTGTGTTAGCCTTCCCTATCTTGTGTCGTGGAAACAACCCCTCACTTGTGTACAAAAATAAAAAAAGTTCTGTTTTGAAGGGCCCACAAGACAAACTCTTGACTTTGTTTGTTATGCATATGCTTCACATATTAATAGTAGATTTCCCATATTTTTTGGTAATGAGTTGTTCTGCATATGCTTCACATATTAATAGTAGATTTCCCCTATTTGTGCCAAACTGACCATGGTCTTAGCTTAGTGCCCTGTTATGATTATGTGGTTCAGCCAAATAAACTAAACCTCTTAAAAGTGTAGATATGATTTCTTTTACTGCACTAGAAAGTTGCACTATCCTTATATAAAACATATATATAAACAAATTTTCTGGTCGAACAAAATTTAAATAAATTAGCCTAATCAACTTGTTGCTGCTGCTGTAGCTGCAGTTGGTTGGTGAGTTTCCTTCTGAGTTTCTGCCTATCCTTAGCTTTGTGGTTCTGAAACCAGTAGAACAAATTCTTTCCCTGTATCTTGCCATAGAAGGAAAGGTGTGTTTTTTTATTATTAATTAAGATGCCCTTTTGCTTTCCATGTTTATTGTCAATTGATGTAATCATAACATTTTTTGCAAAATGTCTGAACGTTGTTGCTGCAAAATTTTCAGGCCATAATTTGAACTACCAAGAAACCAACTGAAGCATGCCGCTGGAAGTAGGAAGATTAAAAAAGGTACAGGCTCTGAAGGTGGTTTGCCAAAAATTGAAACCATTAAGTCATTTATTTTCCATAACTACACATATATTAAACTTGATGGTGGTCCTAAAAATATCAGTTAGGTAAATAAGTTGCAAGCATCATTTAAAAGATCATTCATAGCATCCATGATATTGACTATAGTTAATAATTGAAAAACATGGTTGTTTGTAATCGATTCAGGTTTTCTGTTTGTATTTGTATGTAAAAGTGGTTATTTTCATGAATCTATTTAGGTTAAGATCATGTATTGACTGATGATTAAGAGATGAAAGTTGTTGTTCTTCATCTTAGCAGGATAATTGAAAGGTCTCTCCTTACTTTCCAACTTTTTCCTGAAAAGAGATAAGAAAAAATCAAGTGGTGCAACCAACCTGTTTGGAAATCAGAATCAGCTTGGAACTCCTTTACAACAAATTCATTCCACTATTGAAAAGGTAAATTTAGAACCTTTACCTTCCAATTTTATAATGTACTAATAAATTATAAATGCTGGAATGTTGCTGGTGACTTGGGCATATGATTGATTTTTGGCAAATGAGGCAGCAAGGTTATTTTGCCTATTTCACAAATGTTAAATTAGTAGCATTGTCTTAGATCATGTATTGATTGATTGATAATTACTCTGAATCCTATTCTTTTGTTATTGAATTGTAGGTAATTATGTAGTTAATTTTTGAATTAACAGAACTATACACAGAGCATATAATTTTGATTTGAACAATGATAGGTCCTGTCATACGAATTGAATCACTTGGAATCTTGGATTGATGTTTAGTTAATTGATTTGATTTCTTTTCCATAATTATTCTGTATTCTTCATTGCATTATAAACACAACCTCACGCCCACCAATTGCTCCTAATTATAAGTGTGGACCTCTTATTATTGGAAAAGAATTTTCTTGTAGCCATGAAATAGGAAAAATTGGAAGAGACAGGTTGTTTTCATTGTGAATTTGCAATTAATGAAATCCTTTATTTACACAATTGTCATTGCCAATTTCCAGTATTTTTGGAAGAATGGTATGAAAGCGTTTTCTTCCTTTTGATTTTTAGATTGAAGCTTCGAGAATAATGTTAAGAAGTTATAGTAAAACTACCAATCATCCAAATAAATTATCTTTTATTTACTAAGATTTTTTTTAAGAACTGAAACCAAACAACCCAATACTTTGTTCTTTTAGCATTTCAATCTCAAGAAATTGAAAATGAGAATCAGAATTAAATTAAGTTGTTATTATTGTAATCATCACATAGTAAAAAAAAAACCAAACACCCCTTAGTAAGTAGTAACTGAACCCCAGAACATGATCTAGTACTTTGTTACCAGAAAACAACACAGCACAGAGAAATGTACCAGCTAAGTGTTTGAAAGAATTGAATAAATCATATTTTACAACTCTACATTCTGCAAGACTATAACATGCAAATTTTTTTTGATAGTCTTATATATCCTACCTAATTAATAGTTGATCAGTTCAAAATTATCTGAATGAATCTGCAAGTTTTAGTTCTTCCTTTCTTTCCCTCTTGTATTAAAAGTATTTATTGAGGGAGAAGAAAAGTACAGAAGTGGAGGAATGCTTTCTATCATTGTTCAGGTTCAGTTTTAACAAAAGGATAAATTGAGCATTGACATCAAGTAAAACTTCACACTAGATAAACCAGCAATGTTGCCCAAACTCAATTCTGAGCAGCTCTGAGGCAACTTTATGACAATTCCTGATAAAATTTAGAAAGAAGTTCTGACTGAAATCAATAATTATTTTATCTAATTATCATGATTCCAATGCTTTATATTTGAAGTTATAGTTGCTCGAATATTCTAGTGGGTAACCATTAAGAACATTAATATATGGAGATATACACAGTATAGATGATCTGCAACATGCACTCATTTATCATCAATTCCTGATAAAATTTAGAAACAAGTTCTGACTGAAATCAATAATTATTTTATCTAATTATCATGATTCCAATGCTTTATATTTGAAGTTATAGTTGCTTGAATATTCTAGTGGGTAACCATTAAGAACATTAATATATGGAGATATACACAGTATAGATGATCTGCAACATGCACTTATTTATCATGTGGTAATCATGTCACAGATTTCACGCATCACTACATCTAACAATTTAATAGCTACTTTCAGAAAGTGGGGAAAAGGAGTAAGAACCAGAGAGAGAGAGAGAACAATAGTAAAGAAGTAAAAAAGTTTTAGGACTTAAAATGTATGGCAAGATTGTCTAACCCTTTTGCTCAAGCTCTAACCACAAGGCATAAAAAACAAATCATCATGAATTGATATGTAACAGCTTAAAAGAGATTAATTGTATAGTGAGGTAAAGATTATATTAGAATACGACACTAAATTAATAATGATACTATATGGTAAGGTCAAGATTACACTAATTTTCATCCTCCAAAAAGACAACATAGGAACAAGTCAAACATTTTAAAGAACAGATGTAGGATCAGAGTAGTATGGCTTAGTTGAACAATGGGACACTTACAGATAGGGTGTTTCCATAAACATTTTTCAAAAACTAAACTTGTTAATTAGAACTACCCAAAAAATGGTCATATATTTTTATTATTAAGTTAAATAAGGTTTGAACTTAAGCTTCTACTTTTCACATCTCATTGGTGCATTTTTGTTCAACCAATGATTATCTAAACTTCATAATGAGAAGACACATATGTAGTCACATAAATCTTAAACTTGATTTTGATTTGGCAGGAAGTGTGCAGAGGGTGATACTTCTCTTCTTGACATCCATTAGTCAACACATCTAGTTTGTGATATCTTCTTAGTAAGGTACCTTAAACTCAATTATATTTATGTAGTTTATTTATCTAGTTGAAGAAATGAGATGAATTTTATTTATGTAGTTGATGAAATAAGATGACTTATATTTGGATCTTATACCCACTTAGATAAATGAAATAATAGGTTTAAATAACATTGAATTAGTGTATGGTTTGCTCTTCTACTATATAGAGAGACCCTAAATACTCAATTGTGCAAATAAATTTGTCTCATAGAAGAAGAAAAATGGATCGTAGTTGGATAAATGCAAGAAGAATCATTGATGAGTATCAAAATGGGGTTGAACAGTTTTTGGAATTCGCTCAACAAAATCGAGCAGATTTGAATGGAAAATTTTATTTTCCTTGTGTTAATTGTTTAAATGGGAGACGACGTGTAATTGACGAAATATGAGACCATCTTATTTGTGATGGGTTTTTAATGAGCTATAAAACATGGATATGGGATGAAGATAAAAAAACTTAAACTATGGCCCAAACTGAGCAAGGTGATGTAGAAATGGAAGATCAAATAGAAGACATGATTCATGATGTGGGACGAGTTTTTCCAGCAAGCACAATCACATGTGTATGATACTTTAAAAACTGACTCAGAGACACCTTTGTTTCATGATTGTACAACCTTCACACGATTATCAGCAGTGTTGAGATTAATGAACTTGAAGGCAAAATATGGGTGGAGTGATAAAAGTTTTACAGAGTTGCTTCAGTTGTTGAAGTTAATGCTTCCAAAAGACAACACGTTGCCAGATCGTCATTATGAGGCGAAAAAGGTTTTGTGTCTGATGGGTCTACAATATAAGAAAATACATGCATGTCCTAATGATTGCATATTGTACAGAAAAGAGTTTGAATCATTGCACAAATGTCCTCGTTGTGGGTTGTCACGGTACAAAGTGAAGGATGATGGTCGTAGTAATGATGAAGATGTAATTGACAAGGGGCCTCCAGCGAAGGTGTTATGGTATCTTCCAATTATTCCAAGGTTCAAGCGATTGTTTGCTATTGCAACTGATGCAATGAACTTTGCATGGCATGCAGACAATAGAAAATGTGATGGCATGCTTCGCCATCCAGCTGATTCCCCACAATGGAAAAAAATTGATGGTTTGTTTCCACATTTTGGTAGTGAGGCAAGAAACCTTAGGCTCGACCTTGCTTTAGATGGAATGAATCCTTTTGGAAACTTAAGCACCAACCATAGTTCATGGCCTGTTCTCCTTTCAATTTACAATTTTCCTCCTTGGTTATGCATGAAGAGAAAATATGTAATATTGTGTATGATGATTGCAAGCCCAAAACAATCAAGAACTGACATAGATGTTTACCTAAGTCCTTTGATCGAGGACTTGAGAATTTTGTGGGAAGAAGGGGTTGATGTGTTTGATGGGTATCGTCAACAGAGTTTCAAGCTACAAGCAATAATATTTTGTACTATTAATGATTTTCCGGCATATGGGAACTTGAGTGGATATAGTGTTAAAGGACATCACGCATGCCCTATCTGTGAAAAACAAACAAGCTACCTACAATTGAAGCATGGAAAGAAAACGGTCTACACTAGGCATCGAAAATTTCTCAAACCTAATCACCCATATCAAAGATTGAAAAAAGCTTTTAATGGATGTCAAGAACATGAAATTGCACCCACACCCTTAACTGGTGACCAAGTTTATGATCAGGTGAAGGACATAAATATTATATTTGGAAAGACCCAAAAGAAGTCAATTGAGAAGAAGTTGTGGAAGAAGAGGTCCATATTTTTTTATCTTCCATATTAGCGCCATCTAGATGTTAGACACTGCATAGATGTTATGCATGTGGGGAAAAAATGTATGTGATAGTGTAATAGGCACACTTTTAAACATTAAAGGCAAGACAAAGGATGGACTCAATGCTCGTCAAGATTTGTTAGAGATAGGTATACGTGAACAGTTACATCCAAAGTTAGAAGGTAAGCGTACATATTTGCCTCCAGCATGTCATACTTTGTCAAGAAAAAAGAAAATAAGTTTTTGTCAATGCCTACGAGGTGTGAAAGTTCCACAAGGATACTCTTCAAATGTTAAGAGCCTTGTATCATGGAATGATCTTAAACTGGTTGGCTTAAAATCTCACGATTGTCACGTTTTGATGCAACAACTTTTACCTGTGGCTATACGTGGCATTTTTCCTAATAATGTTAGAAGTGTGTTAACTCGTTTGTGCTTCTTTTTCAATGCTATATGTGCTAAAGTCATTGACCCTAACAAGTTGGATGAGTTGGAAAATGAGTCTATTATTATCCTATGTCAATTGGAGATGTATTTTCCTCCAAGTTTTTTTGATATCATGATTCACTTGATTTTTCATCTAGTTAGGGAGATCAGATTGTGTGGCCCTATTTATTTACGATGGATGTACCGAATTAAGCGTTACATGAAGATTTTAAAAAGGTATAACAAGAATCCATATCGTCCAGATGCATCTATTGTTGAAAGGTACATTGCAGAAGAAGATGTTGAATTTTGTTTAGATTACATGTCTAAAGAAAAACCAGTAGGGATTCCTAAGTCTCGTTATGAGGATAGAATTGAAGGCAAGGGTACAAAAGGCATAAAAGTTAAATTTATTCTTCGAAAGGAATTACTTCAAGAACATTTGTATATATTGAACAACACTAAGGAGGTTCTCCCTTACATATCTGAGCACCAAGCCTTTTTCAAGAAAAATAACCCTAGAATGAATGAAAAATCATTGTCAATGAGCATAACAAGACATTCTTAAAATGGTTTAAAGAAAAAGTCTTTAGTGATGACAATGCTTCTGACACATTAAAATGTCTTGCAAATGAGCCTAAATATAATGTCTTTACTTATACTGGATATGATATCAATAATTTTTCATTTTACACAAAGTCACAAGATGATAACAGTACCATGCAAAATAATGGGGTTACTCTTCAGGCTTAATCTATGCATTTTTCTAGTAGAAATGATAAAAATCCTGTTGTGGCATCCACAAGTTACTATGGTGTCGTTGAAGACATTTGGGAGATCAGTTATAGTACATTTAAAGTTCCTGTTTTTAAGTGCAAGTGGGTTGATATTAACATCGGTGTGCGAACTGATGAAATAGGATTTACAATGGTAGACTTTAGCAAGGTGGGTCATAAGGATGAACCTTTCATCATGGAAAACCAAGCAACACAAGTATTTTATGTCAAAGATCCTATTGATGAAAGGTGGTCTGTGGTTCTACAAGGTAGAAGTGTACACAATCTTGACGATTCAACAGTTGAGTTTGGGGAGAGTTTTTCTTTCTCAACACGTATGCCTACTAACAACGAAGAAATTGAACAAGATGACGTTCATGCGTAATGACCATGATAAAGGCATATGGAAAACATTATTATCTAATTACCACATTAAGTTATGTATATCTTGATGTATACTTTAATATTCTATTTATCATTTTTTTCATGCTTTTAATTAGTTTTATTTACTGATGGAATCATGCTAAGGAAGGCAAGAGGTGACAACTTAAAAGATCCAAGAGGAGTGGGCTAGACATGAAGGTTTGGGCCAGTCAAGGCCTAATGGGCCCGATGGGCCTGGAAAGCCCAATTTGAGCTTCACATGGGCCATATCTTGATAAATCTATTTTTCTTATATTTTGTACAAATTATATTAATATAGGTTTCACATATTTTGGTCTTGTATTTTGGACCACATAGAGTAGTATTTTAGGCTTTAGGCTTATTGGGCCTAGTTTTGGGCTTCATGGGCCTTTGGGTTTTTGGTACCCAATATTGGGCTCATTTTCATTCTTGTAATTTTTCCTTTCCATTGTATTTGATTGGCCATTTTATTTAGGCCATTAGAATAAGATTGTACAAGGATTACTTAAATAGGCCATTTAGACTAAAATTAGGTTTAATTAGGAAGTCATTTAAGTTACATTTGAGTCACATGTTTAACACCAAGGGTGGCTGAACATGTGCCACTCAAATTAACCCTAAATGACTCTCAAATCAAACCTAGATGTACCTTGGAACCTAAATTTTCGGCCAAGCACATGGGAGCCAAAATTTGAATTCAAATTTCAAATTTGAATTCAAATTTTGGGCACCACATGTAGGCTTTGAATTAGGCGCCCAAAGTGTGCATTTCCGGAAGCCTATTTAGGTGATGCTTCTCCTTAATGTACTCACTTTTGATATATTGAATTTTATGAACCATTATTCAGCTAAATTCTTCAAGAGTCACCTTGAGAGAGAGTGCCTTCAAAACCCTAGAAACTCACCTAGTTTCCTACCTTTTGAGTTGAGCATGCTCTGGTTGCTTAAGCTTGGATGCTTCCATCCATAGTTTAGGCTATTTCCATCCGTGAACATCATCCAATCAAGTGTCATTTCATTCGGTTCCAAGCTCCATTGAAGAGGTCCAATCTTTGGTGAATCCGAGGAGAAGAACACCTGCCACTTCTCCTAGTTTTTGCCATCATTTACTTATTTTGCAATTGATCTTGGTTTTTATTTTTGTCAAAACAGATACATGGATACTCAATTTGATCCACAAGACGCCCGTGCTCCTCAAGGCTCCCCTGCTCCTCAAGGCTCCACTGCTCCTTAAGTCTCCCTTGCTTCTCAAGGCTCCACTGCTCCAACACTCCCTGCTTCACAGACTATATCTAAGAAAAAGAGGAAGCCGATGCGAATGAAAAACTTAGCCCGTAAGCGCATGAATGAGGTGAAAATATCACTTGATGTGAATCCCACTACTGGGATAGTTTCAAGGCCAAACAAAGTCCAATTTGCAAGTTATCTAGGAACCCTTGCTCGAGACAAGATTAGTATTTTAGTTCCTTCTTGGAAAGAAGTTCTACAGACTACTAAAAACATGATTTGGCAGGATATATTGGTATTTCCATTATATTTACATAATTTGACAAAATTATGATTATTTTTAATGTTATTATTATTAATTATTTAATCTAAAATTGTTTTGTAGGAATTCTATGACATTAGTGATACTACAGTATTAAAGAGTAAAATGCTTTCAACTGTTGCTACAAAATTTAGGCAACACAAGTATTATCTTACCAGGGAATGGGTACATGGGAAACACAAGGGTAAAGGCCCGTGTGATGAGTATAATATTGACCTGAAGAATGGGAGAAATTCAAAGAAATTCGGAATGACCCTTCTTGGAAGGTAAATTGTGTTTATTTTTTTTGTAAAATGTATATTAAATTTGTATTTTTATTTCACTTTTAATTATTGTTTTATTAAATTATTGCAGCTTGTAAGAAAAAAAGCGCAGGATATCCAGAAACTCAATAATGCACCCCACCTATTATCTCGTGGGGGTTATGAGCTACTTATGAGAAATTATATGAAAAGAGAACTTAAACGACTTAAGGAGGTAGCAATACAATCTGGTGCTAGTGAGGATGTAGTGATTGATCCTCCACCTCCTCCTCCACGCCATAGGTTGTGGAACATGGCTCACACAAAAAGCTCTGAAGAGATGACTTCTGAGTCTGCTAATCAAATTGCACAAAAAATTGTAAGTATTTTCTTATAAAATTAATCTCTTTATGTATTTGAAGATTTATTGTATATTTTTTTTATTTACGGATATATTATAAACAAAATTTGTTTATTGTAGAATGTGTTGGAGGAGCAAGAATCACAAGGTTCATTTATTCCTAAAGGCCGTTAGGATACATTAAATACTGCCCTTGGATGACTAGAGCATCCTGGTCGTGTTCGTATAGCTGGGGTTGGTGTTACTATTGGTAATTACTTTGGACCATTATCACAGGGGTCATCCTTATCTAGATTGAGCCCACAGGATCTTGAAGCCCTCACACAACAAATATATGTACGGGTCACACAAACTTTAATGGAAAAGTACCCTAATATGAGTACTGCACAGTCACAAGATGTTCCTCCAGTTGAGGTAGATCATGCTATCGTGGCTCGTGTTAGCACTAAAGGCAGTTGCCTAACTCCTTCAAGTGCTACTGTTGCTGGTAATCCCTTTAGAGATGAGGTTCATGCTGATATCTCCAATAAGTGTGAGTTATGCATTGAGGGGATTCCTTCGCTTGTAGTGGCCAATGGTAGAGTTTGTGAGGCGAGTTCAACTATACACAACGTGCCTTTGACAAATGATTTGGTCAAGGTGTTCATTGAGGAAGTTCGAGATTCTAATGCTCGAGTTCCCATACCTACTTCAGAGGTTCAGCTGGTTGGGCAGGCCTTAAAAACTTTCATTGCGTGGCTGAGACATCTTGTCAGACCTATTTCAACCACGGTATATATTTTTTCCTATTTTTTCATTATTAATAACTTTAATTACAAATACATATTGTTTATTTATATTCATGTTTAATGTTTCATTTATTCTATAGGATATTTATCGAGTAAATAAACGAGCTCCATCTATTGATAGCTCGGAACCCAATGGTGATCCTATTACTGGGTTACGTGAGGCATCAAAGTCCTTACTTTATGGACAACCATTTTAGGTGACTTGACTAACTAATATAAAGACTATTTAACATATTTATATTTTAAGTTTGCTACTTACCCAAGTTCCCAATTTCAGGTGATATGTCCTGCAAGTCTATTTGGGACCAGCGATGATGATTTTACGCTGTATATTTCATTTCAAAATATATATGAATTATTACAACGTGAAGCAATGCTTAACATCTCAATTATACAATTATGGATATTGTAAGTACACAATTGTTAGTGTCATTATCTATTTAATTATGATTTCCTTCACTATTAATTTTTTCTTTTGTATGTATTTTAGATATTTGAATCGTAAAATTGAAGAACTCAATCATGGTGACTTGTATGGATTTCTTGAGCCCCAATCAATTCAAAAATCTGGGAATAAAAAAGCGGAGTCTCAAAATTATATCATTGAAAGGTTACAAAATTCACCCAAGCAAATTTACTTTGCTCCTTACGTTGATCAGTAAGTGCATCTTTGTGAACTCCATTTAATTTGTGTATTTATGTATCTATTGTATAACTAATTGTGCCTAAATGTAGAAATCATTGGAAGTTATTGGTTCTCTGTCCGACAAAGAATGTTGCTGTTTGGTTTTGTTCTTTCCATCATAAGCCAAATGTTCAAATCAAAAATTTAATTAAAAGGTAAAATTTAGTTTGTAACAGGTATTTATTTTATGCTCTCTGTTATAAATTTTAACCATGTAACTTAGATTCATTTGTTTTCTTAGTGTTATGGTTGTCTATAATGTCATAGGGGGTAGATCTACAGCACAACTAAAGAACCTAGATTGCATTTATCCCATGGTAATTGATTTGTAACTTCAATATGCCTAAAATGTTTTTATTAGCTTAAATTAAAAATTACTTATACAACTCGATCTAATTTTCATTTTAGAGTAATCAACAACAAGGAGGTTATGAATGTGGATATTATGTGATGAATTGGATGTTAGACATAATTGAAGGGGAAGTAACAAATGACTGGATTGAGGTAATGTAATTCTTTTACTTTTACTATCATTAATTAATTTATTTACATGATTTTTATGTAACTAATATATTATACTGTATGTTACAGCTTTTTGATGATGTTGCACCATTGCCAGAAACCAAATTGGAAGACATTCATAGTCAATGGACAACCTTCTTTTTAGAAAAATTTAGAAATAGAGCATGATTTTTAGTTTAATTAGGATTATTTATAATATAACTCCAAAACAATTTTCTGCCTTTATTTTCTCCTAAACCCTCAATATTATTCTTCTGCGGATACTGATGTCAGTGTACTATTAACACCTGCGAGTGGATTTACCATGAAAAGTAAATACTGAAACAATGGTTGAAGAAAGAATTAACTCAATATCATGAAAGTTGAGATTACTTGTATCCTTTTAAATTGTTATACTTCCTGTGAAGAAAGTGTTAAGGATGTGCTCTGCGAGTGGCAGTTATTGTTTAGTTTCAGTGGAGTGTAGTTATTGTTTGGTGTTATTAGGTAGTTATTCTATACATGTGACAATTATTATTTAGTATATACTGTAGAGGAAGTCAGAGAGGAGACACATTGTTAAGGGGAAACATTCTATTTGTCATTATGTGTTTGAACTTGGCCTATGAACCAATTAAATTTCTAATATAATCCAGTATCTTGTTTTGTTTAATTAAATTTGTGAGCCTATTAGGTTCAGAGGAGTTTCTGTCTAAAAACCAAACTTGATCACCCCTACTAGAAACAATCAGGCTAGCACTAAATAGCAATGTTGGACCAATCAGTTAACGCATACTTATAAGTGAAGAAAAGGAAATAAATTAACGAGATGAAATAAATTAATTGAACTTCTTCCATGTGTCTCAACTTTTTTAGAAGTTTTTTTTGTGATTTTAACTCGTGGGAGATGTTGGTTTATTTTATTTTCTTAAGTCATTTTATTTTTGTTCTCGTTTTGGTGTTTGATGAATAGTTTATTCCAAATGCTTAGTCATCGAACTGTTAGGCAAATTTTCTTACATCGCTTTTTATCTCGTGTCATTACTTGCTCCTTACTTGGTGTACCAATGGCAACTTCTTGTTTCTAGATTTGTTTCTAATTTCTGTTTTCTAGTTGTGCCTAGATGCTGGCTGGCGTAGAGATTTTTTTTCTCCTTCTTCCGGTTTTTGATTCATGGAATTTGGTTATGATGGTTAGTGTAGGAGATTTCTGTTTCTGGAGGAAGGTTCCAAAACTGTTTAAGGGAGATCCATGCTCATGCTTGTGATGTTGAGGATACGAAAAAGGGTATCAAGATCATAAAGGAGGATTAGGGAAAATTGCATGTACACATTGCTTCATACAACAACTTCCTTACTGTAGCAGGATTGGCTTTTTTAGCTGCAGGTTTTGCCTGCCTTGGTAATACACATGTTAATCTTAAGTTCTTGTTTTAGTTTTTTTTCATTCAATAGTTATGACAGCAGAGTTGATTGCATTAGTGACTACTAGCTAGGATTTGAACAGAAACAACATCAAAATTCAATACACAATGGCTGCAGGAATAGAATTGTCCTATCTAATGATAATTCAATTTGCTCATATGATCCTAAAAATGGTTTGAAATTTCATCCTATCACTTATTCTCACAATCACAGGCTTAAACCGCAATTTGATTTTCCAACCACACACTTAGTAGCTTCAGAGTTATGCTCAACAAATTAAGTGTACCAAAAATTATCTAGGAGCTTCAGGAATTATTGATAGATACATTATACAATGAAAATTAAAAATTTCCAATCAACTTGGTCATTGATACACAAATAGACTACAGATTTGGTTTGCAAATTACACTGAATAAAGGCATTTGGAGTTGAATTTTTTTAACACTAACTAAATGATTAAGTTCTACTATCTTGTAACATATAACAAAAAGTTATGAATCACAAGTAGCTTGAATTTTGTGCAGGCAAAGGTGACCCTTCAAAACTACTATCTATATCTCTATATAGACAAACCAGGGTGGAAGCTAGGATTGACATGGGATAACAATGAAGTGATATGGTCAATGAGTCGTGCCATAGCAACTCACAGAGGGAATTGCTCATCTTACAGCGGCTCTTAGATGCCAAATTCCTGCAGCAAGGATCCCATCATAGTTATGTAATATTTTCTCATACAACAAATGATTCTTTTTTTGTTGTACCACTGAAAGAAAGTTACCTCAAATAGAATTAAAGAAGCACGAGACACACACACTCAGTCAATTAGATTTACAAATTATACTATGAATGACTTTTAAAGTAGTTATTACAAAACTCAACAATTTTATCGTGGGTTTTGGTTTGGTGTTATAAATAAAATGTTTATACAGGTACCCTAGAAAGAATCTAAAAAAATAATTGAACTTTTTTTTTTAAATGAAATCTACATCGGTTTCAAATAGAACCGATATAGATTTGAGTACACATCTACATCGGTTGTTGGTATAACCGATGTAGAAATGTGGTCAAATCTACATCGATTTTACTTAGAATCGATGTAGATTTGAACGCAAATTTACATCGGTTTTTCTGACAATCGATGTAGATTATGTATAAATCTACATCGGTTTTAAAACTAATGTAGAAGTCTTTGTATTACTAAGTCTCTCTATTCTACATCGGTTTTATAACCGATGTAGATTACCTTCCAGAACCGATGTAGATAATACATCCTGTAGTAGTGGCGCATCCATTTCCCTCTCTGAAGATATGAGAGAAACGTAATCTCATCTACCTAACATGGAATAACATGTTCATTCACTGTACATACAAACTACAAGGAACTAATGAAGGGTAAAAGAAGGCTCTGATGGCTAGAAGTGAATCTATCTCTATCCAAAGCGACATCCAGACATGACTCCGAGTAATCTGCACTACATGAATAATGGCCAACACTTCTGCTTCCAGTGCTGATTTGGCTACTACTGACTCGGCTAGGCATACCACCAGGTTGGCTCTGCTGTCTCTAAAGATGATCCTGCATGCTGTTGAAGAAGAGAAGGTGGAGAAGGCACTGTCTGTGTTGCACTTTATCCAATAATGAGATCTTTTTATCAGAGGGCAAATAATTGAAAGTACTTGTAGGGGCATTGAATTTGAGTTTAACTAGTTATATTTATATTTTGTGTTCTGTAGGTTCAAAAGCTCGTTGGTTCAAATCCATCGGACCTTGCAAGGTCTAATTTGGCCAAACTGGACAAGTGAGCAG